TGATGCCACAAGATTGAGTGGGACGCATGGGGCCCCCGTGCATCTCGGCCATCATCCTTAGTGGCAGGAGTTCAGAATCCTGCATGCGGCTTGAGGAGCTCTGCATGGCAACCTACATGAAATCAGTAATGAACTGCTTCTGTTAGGGTGCTCGGACGTGTCTAGAGCCTAAAGGACGCGAACGCAGAAAGACGAGGGAAGCCGCTTGGAATGAAGTCGTGCAACGGGAACCCGATGAAACTTACTAGGGCTTAGCAGGGAATTTGGGTTATAGGAGGGTCACATTCTCTCCTTCTAACCACCGGTAAGTGAAACTGTTCAATTAGTTAACACCTGCAGGGGACGGTCTGTAGACGCGCCAACCTTGTGCTTGCAACTTTGCAAATGCTTCTTCCGAGGGCGCCTCTTAGCCGTTAGCCACACATGCAGGAGTCCAACATAAGTCTCTAGCAACTGAATTCCCACCATCATTTGATGGCCCCTAATGTCGATTACCTTTTTCAGCAAAACTGTGGGCAGGAAAGTGGCTTCTCGATTGCGGGATTGAAGACCTGAAACCCTCGGCGTTGGGCCATGTTAATCCTACTCCCCTACATGCTAAAACCCCTAATCCAGTCTTGTTGCGGAAGAGGCTCCGTTCCATCTCGGCAAAGGGGTCTCGGCCGCCGAAGAACTGTCCGATTTGCACATTACATACCCTATTCTGCTACAGTAGCTTCTATTGTCTTTTCCATTGTCCCTATATAATCATACGACCCATAGTCTAAACTCCAAGTATCCTCCTTAATAGCCCCTATATAACACCCTTTAAGGACTTTAGATTTTGGCTCAGAATGTCCTGGCAAGGTTCCAGGACGATTGGCATCCCTGCCTGCTCAAAGACACTGAAAGCATCACCTGATGACAAGCGAAGGCGTAGACGAGATATGTTTAGGGTTTAGGGTTTAAGGGCGGGTAGATAGAGGTTATACAGGGTATAGGAATTGAAAAGCAAATGGAAGTTACTGCTTAGGTTTAGGGTTCATGGTTGGGGGTTAAGGGTTCATTGTTTAGGGTGTAGGGCTCATGGTGTAGGGTTTGAGGTTTAGGGTTCATGGTCTGGGGTCTCGGGTTTAGGGCTCATGGTGTAGGATGAGGTTTATTTTTCCTGGTATGGGGTTTGAGGTTCAGGCTTTTTTTTTTATTTTAAGCCCTAAACCCTAAACCCTAAATTGAGCACCCGGCGCCCACCGAATCCAGCGTGGTATCCGCCCGGGCCGCTGCCTCCGAAAACCTGCTCAGCAGCGGACCATCCAAGGGGGTATATCGTGTAGGGTTTAGCGTTTAGGGTGGGGATCTAAGGATATAAACGTGCTTATGGAAAGAAAAGGGAAACTATTTTAATGGGGTTATATAGGGTTTAGGGTTTGGGAGGAATGGAAAAGAAAATGGAAACTACTATAATGGGGTTGGTTGTAGGCATCAGGAATCATTGGGAAGCAGATGGAACAGAACATGGAAAATTGCATGGAAACTGGTATTTAGGGTTTGGCGATATTACCCCACAAGACTTACTGGTGGTTAGCAGGGAATAAGGATATATGATCCCTACATAATCCCTATAATGTACCCCCGCATTCCCTACTAAACTCCAGTAAGTAGAGCAGCTATCCACCCTAAACCCTAAACTTGAAAGTTTAAGCCCTGAACCCTGAGCCCTAAAACTCTAAACACTAACCCTGGAACCTCGCCGTGATCATATGCTGATCTCTTCGCTGGATCAGATAAGACCTCGTAGGCCTCAGTCGCGTGCTCACTCCTTCTTCCTGGGTGGGTTTAGGGTTTAGGGTTTAGACTTTAGGGTTTAGGGTTGCTGTGGAGGAACTTTGTTTAAATCGCTATGACAAGGAAATCCTACTAGAGCCTACTATCTGCTAAATACCCATGGCATGGCAGCTTAGATTAAGTTCCTTAACAGCAATCCAGTCTTTCTGGGCGGACAATTCTCTGTAAGTGCCCTGCCTCGGCTACGGCCTTGAATTTCTTCTCTGCTTCTTCCTCGCGTCCGCATGAAGGACCCTTTGCATCTTAGCGCATCTGAGCCATAGCCTAAACTCCTAGTATCCCCCTTAAGAACCCATACTACTCCATGATATATAACTCCCCTTCAAGGTGTTTAGGCTACAGCTCATCCAGGCTTGCCTTGTTGTCCGGATTTTTGTCGGGATGCCATTTCAAGGCTTCCTGCGGCAAGTCGGGGTTTCCCAATGTTGGTGGGGACAGTTTTGTTGGGTCCCTATGATAAGGATTATAATATTTTGGGGTATATATTGGGGTCCCAGTATTTGTGGAAGCTACCAAGTGCAGTTGCGAAGTTCATGGTTCGTGGACCGCGTAGCTCCTTGCGATAAGCTTTCTTCACATCCGCCTCGCTCGCATCCTTCGACACCTTTAGCAAACATGATGCTGTGATTCACGGATTGCTGAGTTGCTGCATGAACAGACATTTTCTTGATGAAAAGGTCATGCGCGTTCAATGCCATGACTGTTGTGCTGGAAGCGGGTTTGGCTGACATCTCAAATCTCTGCCTTAAATTACGGGAATCATTCACCTGCGGGAAACACTTCTTTGCACGCACCCGCCGTGTTTCAGTCCATGTTAACATAGTGTCCGCTTCGAATGCGTTTGCAAACGAAGCATTTTCAGGATACGTATGTTGAGAGAGCGGAAAAACGCCCGGTCTCATGCACTACTTTGGAGCTTTTGAAGATCAGAACTTGACTTGCGGGGATCATGTGAGCATGATGTCCGAGCAACGGCGCTCCCAACACGCCAAGAGGTAGCTGATTCTTGACGGCGGGAATCACACACCATGAGTGAACAAGAATCAACATGTCCAGCCCTGTTGCTGATGCATCATGCTGGGAGATACAAGTCAGACCCCTTGTCAATCAACTGCGCGGTAGCAGTGATTTCCCTGAGCCACTCATCAGAAGCAAATTGAGCCTTCACGCGGCATACAACCATCACATCTTTCTTGCTTCCATCAGAGTTCATCAGCTCAGGAGTCAATGCTGTCTTGACTGTGTCCTCTGGAATCTCGATCTTCTCAGCATATCCTTCTTCGATGCCTTTGAAGTCCTCGTTGAGGAGATACACAGCGAGCTGGTCGCCGGGCTGGTAGTCATTCATGTGCGCTATGCCCGTCTTAGCGGGATCTGGTAGGGTCTTGCCCTGAGACTCATTCCTGGCAAGCATCATCAGTGCAAAGTCACCGGGCCAATTCCGAGCACTGAAATCCATCTGGAGAATGACTCTGACTTTGATGACCTCGGCGCTTCCTTTTCCAGGCACAATTTCATGATCCTCCTTTGGGACTTTTTTGCAGCAGTCCATGAAATCCACTGACCACACTACAAGCACCTGCAGACATACACAACAACGGAGCCAAGAGCGTCTGCAGCAAATGACACACTTTGCCTGGACAGGCCGGCTTTATCATCATTCTACATTGTACTTTAATATACTATGTTATACTATAGTTTCCTCCTGCTCTAGTATAGTCGAGTATCTATAGGCAGAGTGCATGTCACTATAGTCGACCTTGCATTCCCCCTTCACTTTGAACTTAATCTCTAGTGTATAAGGTTACATATGGATTGCAACTGGTTGCAACTGCAACCTCGTCTCATCGCATAGTAAGGACAAACACGGGTGTTGGAAGAGTCGGGCGCCAAGAGTCGGAAT